CCCCCCCCCCCCCCCCCCCCTCTGTTCTGGTCGGCGCCTTGCCCCGCGAAGGAGACCCCAAGTCTCCACTCGGTGCACGCCTGGCCTTCCCAGCCCGGGCCTACGACAAAGCTGTGGTGCAGCCTGCTTTCGCCCTCTAGGAGAGCACCCTGCCGGTTTTTTTTTTTTTTTTTTTGGGGGGGGGGTTGTCAACCGCGTGGCAGAGAGGTTGTTGGTGTTGTATTACCTTCACATTGGAACGTATGCCTTAGCCTGCTCAGTAGCTTCCAACAATAGGGGCCATCTTCTTCTTCTTGTTTCTGTTGTCTTGTCGTCGAAAAAAAAAACTTGTGATCTGATCTCGGCTCACGTCGTTCTAACGCCCGTGGCACACACGTACCTCCCAAATACGAATCACGACAGAAGTGAATGAACGGGACTCAGAAAAACCAACCGAACGCGATTGGGAATAGGAGATACTTCGTGATTGGGAACGTGCACAACAAGGTCGACCGTTGTGCGTGGTGTAGCAAGACCGTTCGCGGCGGCGGCCGCAGGTGCAACCGACAGCAACGGCAACAATGGTTCAATCAACTACACAACAGTATTTCGTGCGGTGCAGATTGGCTCAGTTCACTACACTACAGCAGTCTCTCGTGCGGTGCAGGTTGGCTCTCCCTCCCCAATATGCACCACTGACAACAGGAGCGCGCGCGCATAGCATGCGTAGCACAGATTGCGACACCACACACAAGGCCTTTATTTTGCCACGAGGGTGTTTTTTGTTATTTATCGTCCTATTTATTATGGCGACAGTCCCCCCGTTTTTCGTGGTGAGACGCGTGCTACCCTCTTCAGTGTATGTAGAGTACTACACTTTTCAGGGTATATCGTTTCTAATACAGATGAAAGTGCAGGATGTCGTCCAACGGAGCACCTGTTCTCATGGTCAACAAATTCTTGAGCGTGTCTATTTTTGGGCCTCACGTGCTGAACTGAACCTCCACGTTCTTATGTGGTGACATAAGCTCTCTGTCAATAGTGCTGCGGGTACAGGTGGCCCGACTGCATTATATGATAGCCAACAACGGTATTCTGAATTCAGTCACAAACACTCGAGTTTCAACAAATCAGAAAAGGCCATGCGAAGAGAGAGAGAAGCAACCGGCAACCGAAATTGCCAAGATGGTAAGGTTGCCGAGCGCGCTCGGTCGAGAGAGGCGTGCGGCCTGAACGGATTGCCCACCTTGACCATGTCGATGGCCGGGTAGTCAAGCGCCTGCTGTAGCGGCTCTCCCTGCCCATTCGTGAGAAGCACGTCCGACAGCACCTGGAAAAAAAAAATACACACACACACACACATCCCATCAAAGTCGTACACAATTTACCCGAGCACCATGCTTAGGGTTAGGGTTAGTCATCATCACAACCTTTGGGAACAGTCGTGCTGCATGAATTTCAAATTTCCGAGACAAAAATAGGAAAACTCGTTAGTTGACGGCAGGGACTAATCATGCACGTCTTTCCGAACAAAGTTGGATTATTGGATTGAAGCACAAAAAACGAACGCTGCCGCAAGTATCAACGAACACCATTTTCACAACTTGGACACAGCGCGAAGCCGAAAAGGCCAAGGGAGATGACGAGGTCAAGACTATGATTTGGTTATTGCGGTGATGTTTCTTTTTATATATACGTAAAAGTATATTTTAGGTTTAGGGACGCAACGTGCGCTACAATACAGCGTATCGACCGGTTTCTAGAGCTCAGTTGCTCTACAACCAACAACAAGGGGCTGTCAACCCCGAAACACGAGGGTGGGTCTTTGCAACATGTCGTCGAGAGCTGTCATTCCGTGCACTTGTCGGTCGAGTGTAGCACCCTACGGCTGGTGCAGCAACGTATCCACCTTGTTCGTCTTGACAAATCGATCGCACGCCTGCTGTGCACTAGCTCGAGCTCTCACGCACAGCTGTAATACATATACGTATGTCAATCAACAGCGTCCCAAAGACACAAGCAGCAGCTCACCTTTACGACGACGAGCTTGCCCGACTGAGATAGCCCCGTGTCCTTCAGCCCCTGCGCCAGCCGCCTGGGCGTCTCCGCGACGATCGTGTCCACTGATACCAGGAGGTCTCCAAGCCGAACACCCGCCGCCTGGACAGGGCCGCATGTATCCAGAGCGAGAGAACAAGGGTTGAAGGGTGTGGCCGAGAGTTCTAAGGCTGTGGCCCAGGAATCACATGACGAAAGGCAGAGTTATGTTGATTTCGAAACAGGGGTGAGCGTGCACATAACAGATAACACATAACAGATCCAAACGGTTTAGGGGTGGCAAGAGTGACCGGATTGTTTCGAAACTAAGGGGAACGTGTCAATGCGGTCAGTCTGTTCACCACGACTCAAATGCATCTTGGCCTGCATCGGAATTGACACCAACCCGTAACACAAGTACCCCTGAAAAAAACACGCACAAAGACCCGCAGTTAATGGCATTTGAAACGTTTCGTGTTTTCAACCGCACTGAGACTGACGTCTTTTCATTGGTCAGCCGGTTAGCGCGGTCGAGGTTAATAATGAAGACACACACACACCAGACCACGAAGCAACGCAAAAACTCACGCCCCCCCCCCACAATAGTCTATAACAACGGCGGCATGCATTTACATGCGTACGCCCCCCCCCCACAAATATGTCAACACGAAAACACGCACCTGCCCCGGATTGGAAACCCCAGGCGGCATTTCCGTGAGGCCGTCCACCACCACCCCGCCGTGCCGCACGTCCAGTTGAAGCCCGAGACCGTTGGGCCCCATGTGCACGGCAAGGTCTCGCATCACCCACCCGCAGGTCTTGAGCTCGAAGGCTAGCCCGGCCGCCCTTAGACTGTGCAGGTCCACCGCGAACGAGCTGAGGGAACACGACAGGAGCATGACAGGAGGTCAGGCGCGGCGAGGGAGGGGGTTCAACAAGACAAAAACGTGAGTCGTCACACAGTAAGTGGGGCGAAGGAATAGAGATTTGGAATTCCATGCTGTCGCGTACGGTAGGTATCCGTGCAACGAACACCGGGATCCGTGATCGGACAACGCACCTCCGCTACAAGATCAAACACAAGCAGCTGTAGTCGAGCGTCCTGAACAGGCGCACCTTCAGCACTAGCCTATGCTCATCTTCGACAGTTGATCCCTACCTCTGCATCGATCGAACACACCACGTCACCGGAATACCGTATATGACACAAGATAACAAACCCCGTGGACCGATTTTCAACAGCCGCAGGGCCGAAAACGGCGGCGTTGAAGCCGTCTGGTCGAGAGCTCTCTGAAAACGTATCCTTTCGTCTATGCACGCTCTTGGTCGTGGAGTAATCCAGCTATGAAAATCGGTTCGGAGGGTGTGTTATCTTGTGTCATATACGGTACCCTCAAAACGACCCCGCCCCCATTCCTCCACGCCCCGTCCTCCCGAGGACGCGTGGTCAACGGTTCAACGGCAAAGGCATGCAATTCATGAGTACCCTTCTCCCGAAAAGCTTTGGGACACAAAAACAGGCCGTTTTGGGCCCGGAAGCCCTCCGCAGGACTTTTCTACTAAGTAAACATGTTGGATTTGGATAAAGCATGCCATCGTGGACGTTGGGATAGGGTTAAGGATAGGGTCATATTTTTCTCGCGAAGGCGGTCTCTCGGCCCACAACCTTTCTCGAGCACTCCCAGCACCACCAGCAACAACAACAGCAAGCAGCGACACACAACACATTCGTCACCTGCACAAGCGCTTGAGCGCCCTCCGTTGCTCCTCGGCTGCAAACCCGCAACTGTTGAGGGCTGACAGTCCCGCCGACCGCTCCCGCTCCTTCTCTCTAGCAACCTCTGCTGGCTCGCCCAAGTACTGAACAAATACACACGCGTCAAGATCAAAGAGGGAGAAAAAAAATGATAAAGAGGCAATCTCTTGTTTTCAAGCTATATATCAACCAAATCTTAATAGATTAGAGTATGTTTCAATATGAGGGTGAGCATTTTTGATAACAACTCCCAGTTGAGCCACCATTGGTACACGTCAACACGGGGGGATAGGGGCATGGACTGTTGGAGTTGCCAGTAGCAGCGACAAGCTTTGCTGCTGCATATTGCGGCCATCTGACCTCATGAACCAACCAACAAACGAGCACTTCGGTTGTCAGAACCGTACGGCCGGAGGTATTTTATTTGTGTCGACTACACCGCAGAAATAACAACGATGACGACGACAACCGTACCGTCGTGTCTGTCCCGTGCCCCGTACCGTACGTTGTTGTACGGAGCATGGATCGATCCGTAGCCTGCAAACTGAACGGTTTGCATATTTCTGAACGGGATGGAAGACGAACAGAATAAATAAATAAATGAAACACACACACACACACACACACAAGCCATTACCCCCTCCCAGATCATGGCCGTTAGAAGCATTTTGTGTTTTCGACCGGACTGAGACTGAAGAATTTTCATTGTCAGCCTGTTTGCGCGGTCCATGCTAGTAACAAAAACACATACTCTATGGTCTGCAGCCTACCCAAACACAACACACCGTGTTGCCGCTCGTCCAACGTACGGTGTTCGTGGCGAAGGCACCAAATCGGCTCATCGTAGCTACAGCTACCGCCACATTACCATCCTTGCCCAAGCGCACAGGCTGCAACAATGATAATCTTACAACTTTGATCATGATTCAGCCATCCTTCCTACGTCCTAAGGCTTTCTACACGAACAACATCACCATCTAGTTCGCTCGTTTCCTCTAAGTGCTACATGTAGTCTTTGCAAGGCACGCCAACAGCCGATGGACCAAGTCCGCCAAAGCCGAATGGTTGGGATTTCGTGGGTGACGCAAAAAAGGGTGCGGAAACTATGGCGACGGTACGGGAATCTAGGGGTGAATGGGAGAGGAAGGGACGATGAAGAAAATATGAGGGATTCAATGGTGGCGAGAAGGAGAAGGATAATGATGACGAAGGGAGTTGAAGTACTAGTAATAGTGGTAGTAGTAGCAGTGGTAGTAGTCACGAAAGAGAGGAGAGAGGAGAGAGGAGAGAGGAGAGAGGAGAGAGGAAGGGGGTACGATGCAAGAGGAGAGGAGGGTGGAAACAATAGACGTAAGTTCTGTCGGAGCTATCATACTATTTCACGCAAATAACGCCGGAAGCACACAGAACTGTCCAAAAGTAAAGGGAAAATTAGCGACGAGAGCAGAAAACACAAGGAGGATTACGTGAAGAGAAACACGAACACTAGCAGGTAGCACAGCAACACGAGCAGAGTAGAAACATCACAAGGTATGCGCATATTCCTTCATCCGCTCCTGTTTCTGGTCTTGATCACTAGAATAGTCTAGCGTCCGCCCCAGATCATGGCCACTAGTAACGTTTTCCGCTGTTAACCGCTTTGATTGGCATGTTTTCATTGTCCAACCGGCTGAGGCTTGACAGCGCCGTCGATGCCGAAACCTAGACACAGACACGCGTATGCACAGATGGTGGTCCGGACATGCCACGCCCTCCTCGAACCCTCCCCCCACATGTCCGAACCCACAACAAGTTCAACAAATACAGAGGCACAGAGGCACAGAGGAACAGAGGCACCATTTTACACACAACGCTACATGCCGTGTGTTATCCTATCCAGTGGTACAAACGCCTGTCCCGTGTGGGATGCTATCCGATCACTGCTGCTGCTCACCTGCTGGCCATCTTCCTCCTCTCCCTCGTCCCCTTCGTCGGCTCCCTCATTGCCACCACCGCCAAACCTGTCCACGTCCGACCGCCCCCTGCTGCTTCCGCCGAACGGCCTGCGAACAGGCTCCAACTCCTGTGCGCTAACGCCAAGGTTTGCGATCAGGTGCTCTCGGAGGGCAGCCTGTGGCATCAAGACAGCAGTCACGTTTAATCGTGTGTCAGGCATTCCAAAGTCATTGCGATTTTGCATGTTAGCAAAAAAAAACTACAACTTGTATTTCGAAAACACATGAGATTCGTCGCGATTGTGATACAATAAAAAGAAGTAAGATGTGTTATAACGTTTACGTGCAATCGTGTTAGTTATTCATCAATGCATAGAGATGAAATTGTTGCGATTTCGTAACAACAACAGAAACACCGCTCTTCTTTCGAGAGGTACTATTTATCTTTGGATAGACATGAAGTGCTTCGAACTTCGAAAGAGCGAAAAAAGAGTATACGTTGTACTTCGAAAATGGTATACTTGGTACCACAGACTGGTACCGTGCGGTACGAAAGCGTATGTAGCACTCGCCTTGAGGGTGCGCTCTCGGACGCCTCGACGGTCCAGCCACTTGTGGAGCGCCTTGAGCTGGGAAACCCTGGCGTAACACCCCCAAACCTCGTTGTGCTCCACGAATAACCGGTGGTCCTGGTGCACACAGTAGCAGCAGGATTCCAGGAGTTCCAAAACACGCGCATGACAGAAAACAATGGGGGGTGGTATTATAGCCGATATGTATTGTGTAGCGCTAGCCTTGGCCTTTGTCTTCGAGGGGGGGGGCTGCGGATGGGATCGGGATTACCCCCCCCCCCATCGATATACGTTGCTTTTGCAACAACAATAACACGAACAACAACACGATTTCGGACCGTGGCGGAAATCACGAGGCAGCGACTTCTGTCCTGTCCTGTCTGCTGCAATCACGGCAGAGGCGCCAACAACGTCACGACAGAAAGGAAATAATGGGCGGGGGCAAGCAATCGTAGAGGAGGCATCTTCTCGGTTGGTCACACAAGAAAAAATAAACGGCTTTTGAGGGTCCTTGGTGTCGACATCGAACGTACAGCAGTAGGAGCATTAAAACAAGAGGGACAAGAGGAAGGGCAAATGGATTCTACACGAGGCGAAGCCGGTGCATAGGTTGGTTGAGTCGTTGATACGCAATTCCATTCGGGATGACCCCACACCGTAACCATAATACGCTCGAGGGCTTTTTACAAGGCCTAAACGCGCATCACAGCTTAAGCCTCGTGGGACACGTACAGCAGTAACCTTTACTCGGCGTTGGCTACACGTAGCTTGTCAAACAAGCACAACATTTCGATGCATATGCGTACGCACAAACATGTAGACCGAACTCGGCAGATACATGGGTTACCGCTCACCTCCCCAGTGGCAAAGAGCCAGTATCTTCGGCGATCGCGGTCCAGCCCCAGCGGCTTCAACCGGACCTTGACGCTACCCAACTCCCGAACCGTTTTGACATCCGGAGATTCCATCAGCATCCGAGCCGTGATCATCTCGGCCTCCGTACTGCGACGATTGTGGGGGTTGTGAAACCTGCCCGAAATGAAGGAGGTGAGGGGGGGGGGGGGG